GACAATAAGAAAGAAAGTACTTTTAGAAGCGTTCAAAGTAAATTCCTGCAACTATACTCCAAGGCAATCCAAGTTTACATTCCTTTAACAGGCAGAAAACATTACTATATAGGGATTATCCGAAAAGTTCTTGCACAGCTCATGTGTAAACACGCGTGCTGGAACAATTTCATGAATTCTACAGCCTTAGATACGTGACAGCTGTCTTCTGCTGAAATAAACACAGTTACTGTTGGAAATTGGCGATCTCGAATGGAACTCACAACGCATTTGGTTCAGATGTAAGAATCAATTATTACTCCGGTCTTCACTGGGGCTGCTAACGCTCACAGTAACATTTTTATCGATGTTACAAGAAATAGAATGAGTTCCGTTGTCACCTGCCTGGACGCTGAATTCCTATGCCTTCTCAAACTAGACGTAAGCAAATCATTGATATTCGCCCATGTCTCGGTGGAGATTACAGCCTGGAGCCTATTGATTCGCTTTGACCCCAGAACTATCCATCTCAAACGAGGAGTTTATGAGTGACTGAATGGGCTGCAGCAGTAGATTCAATCTAGTGTCCTTCAAAAAATCAGTCTACATTTCTAAAATGATGTTAATCAGTACAGGTGCACACGGATGAAAATGACACAGTATGTCATGGTCTAGAAAATTTGGTCACTCACTGTTTGCCCGCAGTTTTAGACCTCTATGAGTAATTGAAAGAGCTTGCGCAGGGATCGCTTGTAAAGTGTTCTTTATTTCCTACACGACGTATTTAGAAAGGGAAAGAAGACTGCATACAGACACACAGTATTTAATTAAAGAGGGGATCATGTATAACAAAGATGCCTGAACTCACTGAAGACTACATAAAGGGAATATTCGAGGCGTTCATGGAATCTGCTGACAACCAATAACCATTAAGAGATCACTGCGGACAATCAAAAGCTAACTTTTGCTTCTAATCCAAAGCAGCTTGAGTAATCTTGTTTCTACGACTGAAAGACCATCATTAGCCTTAAGAATTATTCTATGTGCATCTTCTGAAGTAGCATCTGGAATGCTTCATGTGATTTTTTATGCTATGGTTGGACTGAAGCTGAAAGTTTTGAGGAAACCCATGCTGGTAGAGCAATCAATAGCCATTTTTTAATCGTTCTATGTGGATGGTATAATCTACTTTCAGCAATTTAACTTCAGCTCTCAAGAGCGAGCCTTCTGAAATCAACAGATACAATGATAATTTGAAAAGAGTCCAAAACCTGGTGACTAAAGGAGTGACAGGTCTCCGAAACAAGCTGTATGATGAACAACCAAAGTAATTGGTTCTCTTCACACTTAGATACCGTCGACCTAGATGGGACTTGATTACTACCTGTCACATAACAAATGATCACGCAAACGAAGGTTTTTTAGTCCTAATAATCCACACTAATTATATATGTAAATATTATTATCTTGTTTCTGTTGACGACGACACTGGAGGACTAACTGGTGACAGCATCAACTCCATTCACACTAGCAACACGTTCTTAACACACCACAAGTTAAAAACTACATATAACTAGTCCCAGCACCACTTCTTTTGGAGTCAACTTAAGCTACGACAATCGAGTGGCGGGAGGAAGTACACAGGAGTTTACCGACGACCAGGAACCTCCACCCTACACTCAAGAAGCGAGCACTGGGAAGTGAAATTGGTTACCCTATTTCGAAAAAATGGTTTCGGAATTTCTGTAATGGAATTGAGGAAAGTTGGGGAAAGGACTGCATCCAAATGGCCTATCCCCTTAAAATCGCACACCATTCAAAGGTAGACAATTAAACTGGTCGTTTTACTTCTTTACATTCTCTTCCGTCTTACTCTCCTGACAGCTTTAACTACACTTATTATTATTACCATTATTACCGGTATATATACGCCGGTTGACTGACTGTTGTTACGTTTTCTTATTCTTTTTCTGTCTGTTAGTCTGAATACCTTCACTAATTATATCTATTCTTATTATTATTATCTCTTTTCTATTGACGAAGATACCGAAGGACCAACTGGTGAAAGGATCAACTCCATTCACAAAAGTAACAGTCTTAACACACCTCATTCTACAAACCACATACAATTAATCCCTGCTCTACTCTTTTGGAGTCAACCAAAGCTACGACAGTCGACTGGCGGGACGAGCTACGCAGACGTTTACCGAAGATCGGGAACCTCTACCTCACAATCAAGAGGCGAGCATAAAGAAATCAAACTGGTTTATACTAGCTCGTAAAAACGATATTGGATATTGGATACTGGAAGTTATAACGCGATATCAACTTACATTTATTTTGCCCGCCATATTAGAATGACATTGTTACCCTTCCAGAATGCTTTTAATTGTCTCATCACTGCCATTGAATTAATAAGTTAGCCTTCATTAAAAATATCTCGTGAGTTTTGGAATATTTGCGAAGCTATATATGTATAGGCCAACAAGTGAGTTAACTTGTCAAATGCGATAACTATAGTAATCGCTATATATTAATTAATGTATATATGAAATATATTGAAAACTATAATATTATAGTTAATGTTAAAAAGTAAGCTTTTAAATTTAGCTATCATTCTCTTTACTCTACGTCTAAAACAAGCATTAGACTATTGAAATTATCAAAACAAATATAAAGTTTTCAGTACTGTCCATTGTGCATGCGTTAATTGGTAGAACTACTTTGCATTAATTCCTACTCTTGGAAAACCTGGTAAAATGTTGAGCCTGCTGACCGTTTCATTCGTTTGAATAGATGCATCAGCCCTAATTGACTCACTGATGATGAAATCTCAGGTCGGACACCGACGGTTTGTGTGGTATTGCCCAACCTACCTCATCTCTGTTGTTGTCTCGGTACCCGGTAATCAAACAAAAGGTGAATCTACTGTGAAACAGTTGATTCTACTGTTTTTTATGGCCATAAGACGGTGAAAGATATGAAGAGCCAAACTCTCTGATCATAAGTGTTTGCATTTTATTTCTTGTGTTTAATGGTATAATATGGTAAATAATGTTGAAGATAAGTGTAGTGTTAGTCGAAAAGAGGAAGTCAGTTGACGAAGTCAAAAATCTGTTTGTATGGAGACGACTAGGGCACGCGTTGTGTATGCCAACCTACCACCTTCATGACGAGCAGTGTCAGCCGATATAGGATTAAGCTTACAGAGATTTAGGAGGGGTCAAATCGAAACACGACACAATCCCATGAAGTCCTTGACTACATTTTTGGGTGGCATAGGTAGTTGTAAAATCACTGTGTGAGATTCCTAAGAATCAGCGGCTAAAGGCAGTTGGTCAACGGCTGAGATACATTTACTCTTTGTAATCTTCCAGGTCTACTAATTATTCTTGTTGTAATTATTCTCTATCCCTTATATTTCCCTTCATTATATTTCTTTTGATTTCCTCCTCTACATTTTTGTGTGCATTATGAACGGGCGAAACTTGAATTTCTGCACTTTTGTAAGTTGTAAATGAAGTTCAGTCCATTAGTTTGCTTCGAGATGAAGTACTCGTTATTACTTGTTAAGATATCATAGATTATAAAAGAATGTCGTTCGACGACATTGTTTCAGAGCTATATATGAGAAATCGCAAAAGCTGAAAGTCACTTGACGTTAAGTTGTGAAGTATTTGCTGAGTAGTAACATGCTTAAGTCGTGACTTGATACTTCTGTGCCAGGTTTCTTTCGGGATCATTGATATACAGGGTTGCATCACATGCGCAGTACTGTGTGTTTGTCACTGTTTCTGTAGCTGTTTTATACTCGCGATATTCACACTTTGATATAAGGATAGAACTTGGGCACCATGTTACTGTACTGTATTTTGGACAAAATTTATTTTGATAAAGTCCCACAGTGCTATACAGCAATGTTTATTGATGACGCTTTGAGGCTTATTTATTGCTCATGATCATATCTAGTCACTCACACAACTTTTTAACTTCGTTTATATAATTCCATTATTTTTCATCTCTTGGTCCGACTGGAAGTAGTATTTTCCATATCTCTGGTGTTGGTGATCAGCCAATCCTAATGTGTATGTCGGGTGTAGATTCGATGAACAAAGATTCAGTATTCAACCTCTGTCTCCACCTATTTACATTACATTTTAGAATTTTAACTTTGTTCCACCCTATTGTGTGGTTGTGTGTTGATGCAAGCAGTGCAACTGTTGAGTTTTTTAAGTAACCTACTTATTACCTATCTTAGAATGACTGACCCCTCAAAGATGCGTAAATATTGGTGTTTAACACTGAGACTATCGAAATGTTCACACTTTGTCCCTACTTTTCAGATAATACAATGTGTAAACATTTTTTAAAAATTTCACTAGAAGCTATAAGACAAAATAATTTGATCACCTTGTACTTAGAAATATTCACTGTTGTGGAAATATTTGTTAATTATTCAAATTTATAGGTGGATTAAGTCACTGGAAACCACCAAATGTTTGTGAAAACCAGGTATTACTGCGGAGCACTGCATTCTAGTTTGAACTCCTAATCTGTTAACACTAACAGCCTAAGTGTAGACGTTATCATATTTCTGTAAATCTGTAGTGATTAGCTACTTGCATTTGTTTAAATTTGATGGCAGTTTTCTTAGACAAGCAAGTGATGATGAATTCGATTAAAGAAATCCCATCTCACTTGAGATCATTGTAAACCATACCAGTTTGTAAAAATAAGTACTGCCTCCATCTGGGCTTCGCAGACTTATATAACTTGCGTGATTTTGATGTGATACTTCTAAGCTGCCGCCATAAATACTGTCAAATTATATAAGAACCTATTTAAAGGTTTTCGTTAGAACTGATGATTTGTAGGGCGTTGCCAAAGATAGTTGAGAACGGTGTTTTTAATTTATTCACCACTTCCTTCCGCATAGAATGATGTTAAATTTTCGATAACGCATTATGCAATAAAAAAAATCATTTATTTTAATTTAACCTTAATTTTAGCAAGTTTTAAAAATGAATACAACTCCACTTCATCCAGATACGCTTTCACATGATAAGGAGGCAGAAATACAGTCGCTCAAACAGAAGTTAACTGAGGTTAACGCGGAAAATGTTCGTTTGAAATGGCGTTTATTTTCTGAGTTAGCACATGTTGCTCATTTCCGAAGTAAATCTTGGAGTGCTAAAAACGTGAGTCAGCACAAATTCTCCTTGCCTAATATCCATCATCTTATGGGGCAAAATCACTGGAATACTTCAATATCTGTGTAACTCATATATTTTGTGGAATAGTGCTGCACACCAATTTTGTTACTGCTATTGACTTATTACCAACAATGTTATGACGTTTTAGGCAAAATTAATCATGTATAAACTGCGTAGAGCATGATAAGTGATTGAAAGTCAAATTTTGTCAAATGCAAAATTAATGAATCTCAGAAGGAAGTGAACATCTTTCCATACAACTTTGAACATATTTACAAATTCGCAGCCAAGACTCCATTTTTTATTAAATGGGAAAATTTTAGTGTTCATTACGTTGTTGTTTGCACACCTTGCCCATCTTCCTTAAGTTTATGGCAGTGCGACCATTTAATTTAGTCAATTTGCATTTTTTATTAATCTGCCGGTCTATTGTCCAAGTGGAACTTCCGTGAACTCACCTAGTAAACAGTCGTTGATGAGCACTGAACCATTTTTAGTACTGTTCTGTATGAATAGAATACAACTTATTTCAAGTTCTTCTTTTTTTATGACTGCCAGCATGTTTCGAGCTAAGTAACCTTGTGAGTAGTCATAAATTGTTTTAGTTTTCGTCGTGCAGTGATAGAAAACACAGCCTCAACAGCAAAATCTGTGGCTGTTTTTCTTTCTCTGTTATTTCGTTTTCGCATGACTTCCTTCATGTCTTTTATTCACTTAGGTATTAGAGACTGTTAATTTTTGTTCATAACTGCAATACCAGTTATTATTTAGGAAGTACACGGTAATTACCAGTGTGTTATGCATACAAATTGTGCTATTTCCACTTTGTGAAATAATTATTGGTATACTGTCGTCGAAAAGTTGTACTTTTCAGTATTCACTATCTACATATGACACAAAATGCAGGAACTTAGAAGTAGGCATTATACTACTGAATTATGCAGACAACACACTGAACTGGTTGCATGAAGTGAACTGTAAGTTAATATTTTCTTTAACGATTTACCAGCGGGAGGAGATAGAAATTTATGATACTAATCAAGAGTTTTATCTTCATCTCTACAGCATGATGAAAATATGTTTCCCTGATTGCTGACATTCACTAAGTAGACAGAATAGAAGTGTGTTATAATCTGGTGGATTATTACAACTGATATTTGGTGTCTAAAATCTTCCGTTAATTTATTTATTTCCACTTTCTCTTACTGCAATCAATGGATAAACACTAAGTACATCATGTTTTGAACTGTAAAATTTAGTATATTCACTTATGCCTTGATAATAAAAAGTAGAACGTATGGTTAAAAATTGTTTGTGTGTTCACTTACAACTGATCACTTTACACGATTCGGAAAAATTCTTGTGTACAAGTAAATGAGTGCTATTCTGTGTAATTATTATTAATTACTGGTGTAATAAACACCTCCAACATTTTATTCTCTTTTCAAAGCTCTATGAAGATTCACTTTTATACGAAAAGTATTATAAAGCTCATGGTATTGAATTTGGATCAGACGTACCAGTGCATCATCAGCTTCCTCTGAATGCTAAGTTGTTGAAGGAGAACGCCCAATTAAAGAAGCAGTTAGAAATAACTTTGGCTGAAACTGATGTCATCAAAGCGTCTGCAGTCAATGAGGTTGGTAACACGCATTTTCTGCGTACTCTTCCATAATTATTTTCAACACTGTCGCATTCAGGTAACATAACTAAGACAGTTACTATGAACCTTGTCTTTCTTGCCTTTCTGACGTTTGTCAAGGGAACCAATTGTATGAAGTCAGGGTGTTTTTTAATTTCTTTGTTTACTACATATTGATTGTAGATAATTTAGCTGTTTGATTTATAACTTTAACGCCATCTTTTTATAATTTAGTGTAATAAACACCTTGTTCTTATCATCTCAGCTTTGGTCACTATTTCCAAAACATCCAAGAATTATCTTCTTTTTATTATCGTCATTAAGATCGTCGGAAATGTTGTCTCCTTGATGACTTCTTTGCTGCCCTTGCTACTATTTCATTAGCTTATCTACTTCTAAAAAGTGAAATTTTGTCTTGCTTTTGGAAATCTTTCAGTGATTTTTCTTATTTTTCTTAGATTGACCTACAGTTTTTATTGTGCAAAATACAGTGAAGGTTGCGAGTGAAACTGACAATCCTATTCAGTAAAAACAAAATCACGGGTTGGGACGCAAGGACTGAAAAGACAGACAGTTGATATTAACACAAGCCACTATTGTAGAAGTGGGCTAATTTTTAAAGCCGTTCATTTAACAGGCTTACTACTTTAATATTGCAGCTCGTTGATGCCAATTATTTCAGCCATACAAACAAATTTAATAATTAGCCTTATGATAAATTTTTAAAAAACTTGAGGAGACTCTTCTGTGTTTATCATGCAATAATTTCATACTTTAGTTATATGAAAAAAGAAGTGTATATCAGTTACGCATAACAGTCGTACATAAAAACAAGTAGGTTTTTTGATGAAGCTGTAAAGTTCCTTTTTCTCAAGTAACTAAAATGCATTACCTACTCTTAAGTGGCATTATTTTAGGAGAATGACCAGTCTACAACATTCACCAGAGGAATAAATCACTTATTGCTTCTCTGAGCCGTGTACATAAAAATAGGTCGTCTATCTGGGCACATGAATTTATGATTGACACTAGGTGGGGTAAGTGATAATCATTTGCAGTGACATAGATGCAACTTTTGGCTGTTTGTTCTTCATTTCTTTGTGTCTTCTCATAGGGTTTAACGCGTTGCGTGTGTAGAGACTTTCCTCTTTGCTAAGTTACGTGCCTTGTGAACTGGTGTTAGAAAACGATAGCAAATTAATGAACAGGAGATAGTTGTTTCCTCTCTGTTGGAGACGTCATCTGTGTGTATCCACAATGTTTAACGTGGCGTGTCAGTGAGAAGTGATTCATCTTGGACCGATATGCAGATATCCTACGTTGTGGAAGTGTGTCAATCTATCTGTGTAACATAGTCAGTAGCAATATAAAGATAAGTCTGTTGAGAGTTTTCTTCCCACACACCTTATTCTTCCTGCATGCAAAGTTTTTTTATTCCTTCACATTCCTAGTGGAACATATGGCTTCAAGCTAGATGCTTGAAGTTTCTGTAGCAGTGTTTATTTTTACAGGATGGGGTTGCTAGCCTCTTGCCCAACCTTCCCCCTTTACCAGCTGCATTTCTGGCTTAGCGAGGTAAAAGAGTGCGTCACTTCCCTTTGCTTAGTCACCATCCTAACCATCACAAATTATGTGATAGGATTATTGAAATATTTCTCTGGCACACTACTATTTTGTTTGTACACTCAATAGTGTCCTGCATCTAGTTCTTTGTTTGGGATAGACTGAATTCTGTCAGTCAAGTCTACAATGCGGCCACCATGCTTGGAAGCTCATCATCACGGTGTACTTACAATGGTAGTTATTAGATGGTCAGTGGTAATCGATAAGAAGGCTTGTACCTAGGTATTCAACTACGTAGTTTAATATTTTGTAAATTTAAGTGAAGACCCTGCTAAAATGCAAAGTTTCTTCGATACCCTCAGGAAAAATTTGAGTTTAATGGGTACTGTACGTTTGTTTACCACAGGTGATTCCATTTAGACTTTCCTAATAGCTGAAGGAATGTACTCAATGACTATGTGGCAAGCCGTAGTATTAGGATGGTAAGCTGATAGATAAAGTTATCAAGCCCCATCGTCTGAAATGGTCATAACTTGTACTATACGTGGCAAGTCGCCGTTTCCCTCGACAGGCAATGCGTATTAGAACAGATATAGGTTGAGAAAGATTTATGTGTAGTCAATGGAAGTGTGGCATGAAACGATTGGGTTGATGATTGTTGCTTTGATTCAGGTAAGTGTGGAGTTGTAGACTATCTTGCTGATGGTTTATTTTGTTAAAATTTAGTTATTTCACCATTACTATATTTCTTGTGATACAGTATGAATGTGCGATTTCACCAAATAAATGAACTCTGTGATGGAATTAGGCTCTTCCACCAACCTTTTTTCTTATATTAGTAGTTATGTTTTAGTTCTCTTATGGTGCACTACACACTACTGTGGGAAGTTCTGTATGGTTAAGTAAGTCAGTTACTTAAAAAAATTGTATCATAGTGTTTACCATCTTAGATGTAAATGCTTTCTTTATTAAGTCGTTCTGTCTATTTGTGGTAAGATGCTGGTGCATTTCAAGCGTGCTATGATTTTCGTGTTCCTCTAGATTAGTTACTTGCAGAATGCTTTGGCTGCTGAGTCAGGAGACCATGCTGCATCTGTCTGTCAACTTAAGGAAGAATTAAACCAAGCTATTCGAGTTATTTACTTTCTTTTGAATCAGTTCACACAATTTAATGAAGTTCTCAAGAAAGGAGCTGGTGAAATCAATCAACTTAAAATCCAAAATAATATGAATAATCATCTAATTCTTTCGTTACAATCGCAACTTCAGTTTACTAGAGACAAACAAAAGCTGTTAGTTGATCGTTTGAACGAGTTGGAATCACGTTTTTTATGGAGTTTGACAACTGTTACAGAAGTCAATGACAAATCAAAAATTGATGTAATTCGTTTTAAGCAGCTATTATTAATGTCTAAACACCTATTGGACATAGTGGGAAAGCTTGAATTCAAGATTTCATTTCTTGAAAATCAGCTTGATATTGTGAAAATAAGTAGTAAAATGAGTAACAACGTTCGGAGAAACTCCAAATGCAAAACAGGTATTCAATCTGCTGTAATGCCTTTAGTGGCTCCTAATTTAGGTATGTTTTTTTTCTAAAATTTAACTATAACAGTATCATATGTTGTATAGCGTGAAACTGTTTAAAAAGTTTATCGTTACCCTTATGTTCTTCAGTTTTAAGTTTCAGATGAATTCAGTCTCCAAGAGCGTCATCATAATTCCTGAGAGTGTAGTATCTACGACCCTGAGAAGATCTGTAATGACCTTAACATTCGTTCACATGTCATGCTGTTCCAGAATCAATTAACTTCCTACTGCACCATTCGCGTTGCAATAGATATTTTATAGGACTAGTTAACGGCTACACATTGATCGGTGAATGGTAGCCAGTGTAGTTTTATCTTCTTGATTACGTTGATCAGATATAAGTATAAAACTTGGTCACTGTGGTAGAGTATGACTCCATAATGGATAAGATTTTGATTCTGATAAATCACACAGTATTGTACAGTAATATTTACTGATGACGTTTCGAGCACAAACTATTTCTCATGATCATATCAAGTTACTCACACAACTTCTTTCCTTCATTTATATACATGTGTGGAATCGATTAGATATTGGAATAAAATTCAATATGAGATAATGTACATTCAGAATTAATAATACGAGTGTTATTGATCAATTACAATTAGATGGAAAAAAAGACGAGAGTTTCTATAGTCATAATAAGTTACTTGTTAGAATGTTTTGATGTGTTTGAATTGAAGTAGAATTTTATGATTATTTATTATCCTCCCCTGATTTGACTGGTGGCAATGATACGAGTGTCATTGATCAATTAAAATTAGATGGGAAATACGACGAGTGTTTCCCATGTGTGATGAATCATTCCTATTGCATGTGTTGGGTGTAGATTCGATGAACACGGACTCAGTAATCAACCTCTCTCTCCACCTACCTAGATTACTTTTTAGAATTTTAACCCTCTCCCACCATGTTATTGTGTGGTTGTGTGTTAATGCATGCATGGCAATTGCTGAGCTTTTTTCTAAATTACTTATCTTCTCGGGTGGGGTCAACCATTCTTACCTTAGCTAAATTCTTATGTTCTGACAATCTGACTACCCCTGACCTACTAGTTTGACCTATGTAGTTGACCTCACAGTCATTGCAGGGTATTTTGTAAATTATATTATTTTGTCTAATTGGGTCAACTGGGTCATTTAACCTACAGAGCTTGTCCCTGAGTGAGTTTGCAGGTTTAAATGTCCCCCTAATTCCTGCTTTATTTAGAATCCTACGTAGGGTCTCAGATGTCCGGGGTAGTCAGATTGTCAGAACATAAGAATTTAGCTAAGGTAAGAATGGTTGACCCCACCCGAGAAGATAAGTAATTTAGAAAAAAGCTCAGCAATTGCCATGCATGCATTAACACACAACCACACAATAACATGGTGGGAGAGGGTTAAAATTCTAAAAAGTAATCTAGGTAGGTGGAGAGAGAGGTTGATTACTGAGTCCGTGTTCATCGAATCTACACCCAACACATGCAATAGGAAGGATTCATCACTCATACCCGAAATATGGAAAATATTACTACCAATCAAATCAAGTGAAAAACAACGGAACCATATAAATGAATTTAGGAAGTCGTGTGATTACGTTGATATGATTAAGAGCAATAAGTTGTGCTCGAAACGTCATCAGTAAGTATTACTGTATAACACTGTGAGACTTTATCAAAACAAAATTTACCCATAACGGAACTAACATGGTTAACAATAATAAAATAAAGGTCATGACAATTACTCAATTATATAAAAACAGTTATATTGTGGTGAGAGCTGTCTACTAGCCAAATTGGTAGACAGTAATTGACGTCAATATTTACGTTCCCAAGATTTGTCGTGAGAAAATGTGAACAACGATTGATTCAAAACCGACCACAGTATACTTTGCGTAGGCGGATGCAGTTAACATATAGAGGATTTGACATTCAAGATACAGTCACAAATAGATGAAAGAATAACTTTACGTGAGAAACAACCGATCAGAAGACTGTGTTTGTTTGCTTAAATAACCATAGTAATGTACATGAAAATATATAAATATGCGTTGATTTCCTTAATAAATGATCTGTTGCCTGACTCTTGCCTTCTGTCGTTACAATATAAAACAAACATACTAATGACCAATCATATTTAATTAGGTCAAGTAGTCCATCGTAGTCGAAGGTTGAACTCTATTGTTTTTTGTACACACAGTTTAGGCTGTTTGTGATTAATCCAAAGTGCTTCCATCACCTTCAATAACCTTGAATTAGAGTTATGTGAAATAATTTTGAAACAGTCATTAATATTGATTTTGTGACCTAACATTGGTAAGTGTTTTGCAATGGATGATGCTGGATTTCTATTCAGATTAATCGCATTGGGATTTTCTATATGATTTAGTAACCATTTTGGAACATGTTCTTTTCGACGACATTGGAACATTCTATTGGTTCAACCTATATAGGTGTCACCGCAGCTGCAGGTGAACTTGTAGATACAGTTTGAAGTAGAGTCCACAGAATTTGGTGCTTTAATCGCAGGTACAGGGATCGAAAATGTTTGGCATGTGAGAAAAAGAGATGCGGCGTAGAATTGATAGGATCCCACACACTTTGTTATTGTTCAATTATCTTAACGACTGTTAATCTCGCATATGTGGTATATCATCATTTCGCACGCATTTTGTTATTGACTATTACGACCAATTATTTCAAATACTGTTAGCTGTCTGTATTGGTTGTAAAAATGTATAAATACCATTTCCTAAATAAGTTTCTTTGTCGTCGTCGTAGTTTGTCGTAGTTGTTGTACTACAATAAACAGTCACAGACCAGCTTTTGTCTTTTGATATTTGCGTGGTTCGCTGAATCGGAAGGTACCAGAAGCAGATAGGCATATTAGTCAGGCGCAGACAGAACAAGGCGACAACGTCCTCATTTAATTCCGCTACAGTTACAACAAGAATGTGCGTTTGATGGCTGACCGAAGTCTTTGAGCTGTCAACTGCATAATCTGGTCACCCTTGAATGTTAGGTTAATAAAGATAGCTTTCTTTGGTACAGGAGCTGTCTTTTCTAGATGTGGTCTTTCTTTAATGTGACAATTGATAAAGTTTTCCGGATAACCATTGGCTAATAAAACTGAATGTATATGTCGAAACTCATCCATCACTGTGTCACTCGTGCATATTTTTCGGGTCCTTGAGAACAAACATTCCACTAGGGAACGTTTAAACTGGATAGGAACAAAACTGGTGAAATGAAGATATTGTCCACTCCATGTCTGTTTACGAAAAATAGATCGCTGAATCGTTCCATCATCTCTCCTGGTCATAGTAATATCGAGGAAACCGAGTTTGTTATTCGATTCGAGTTCGGAAGTCAAGCGGGTATTTGAATGAATATGATTAAATAGGGTACTAAGGTTTTCAATAGATTTACTATTATTTCCAATAATGAGAGTATCATCTACATAACGTTTACACAGCATAAATTCTCCAAGCATACCTTGCATTTGTTTCTCCAATTTCGACATGAATATATCTGCTAACGAAATGATATCACCTCGCGAAATTTGTCTTCTAATTGCCTTATGCTCTTTTAGTTTAAATAATTTTTGAAGTATTGGGCTGGTCAGTCTATAAAAAGTCGTGCAGCAACGGATTTCATACAACCAGTCCCCTTGATTGGTTTTAAAAAAGTGAGAACTAATATATTCACAAGATCAGAATAGCTCATCTCTCCTATCTCACGGTTTTTCATCATCCGCTAACAGCCTAGACCATTGACAAGTTATTATATATATATATATGTTCGTTCTGGTTTTATGTTTAAACTAATCAAGGTGACCGGTTGTATGAAATTCATTGCTGCACGTCGTCTTATTGACTAACCTATCAAGTAATGAAGTAGTGTTGTGTGATACTTCACTTTTATTAAAATAGTGAAACTAAAATTCTAAGCTACCGAGTGTATGCTATATTATAATGATTCTGTTTCATTTCCATGCTGTAGAGGTTCACAATCTTTTTTCATATAACTTCATTTTTAGTGAATCAGTGTCCTCCAATTATCTATTTTGCCTAGGCGGATACTCTCTTCAGAATGTTAGTATCAGCAATCTGTGCAATGTCACATACATTTCCCGGATATTTATTTGATCACTGTGATCTTCGAGAAATCGTATCTATTGTTACCATACTTAGTGGTTGAACCGTCATAATGTAATGCTAGAAATTAGTTAGGAAAGTGTCAGTCGCTTTTTTATTCTTCCTAGTTAAGTCACGATATCTTCAAGTTGTTGGTTTGCAGCGACTTGACTCATGAAGGTGTATGCTACTGAAGAGTATCTAATTTGGACCAAGTGACTTCTCATTACTTCATGGTTTTCAGTGGTTCTCTATTATTATTATTATTATTATTATTATTATTATTATTATTATTATTATTCCCTTGGTTTCCTAGTGGAACATAGGGCTTCAACTGCACGCCTCCACTTGCTTCTGTCTTCTGCTGTTCTTTTCACTTGCGTCCATGTTATTCCATACTGTTTCAGTTCCTCATCACACGATCTCCTCCATGTCACCCTTGGACGTCCCACTCGCCGCTTCCCTTTCGGGTCCCACTCGAGGGCCTGACGCGCGATGTCACCCAACGGCCTCCTCAGCGAGTGTCCAATCCATCTCCACTTTCTCCTGCATATTTGTTGGGCAATTGGCTCCTGTTTTGTTTGTTCCCATAGCTTCTTGTTTGTGATTCTTTCCGGCCATCTAATCTTCAGTATAGAACGAAGACAGTTGTTGATAAAGGTCTGCAACCTGTTGAAAATATTCTTGGTGACCCGCCAAGTTTCTGATCCGTATAGCAAAACTGACTTGACGTTTGTATTGAAAGTCCGAATTTTGTTGTTGATGCTGAGCGACGAAGATTTCCAGATTGGTTTCAGATTGATGAATGTGTTTCTCGCCTTCCCAATTCTCGATTTGATATCCTCGTCCGTTCCTCCTGTAGTTGAGACAATGCTCCCTAGATAAGTGAATGAAGTAACCTCTTTCAAATCGCTCCCGTTGATGGTGATTGGCGCTGGATGTTGCTGCTGTTGTTGTTGTTGTTGGTTGGCTATTTTCATGACCTCCGTCTTGTCTATGTTCACCTGGAGTCCTGTCTTTGCTGCTTCTTCAACCAGTTTGTCGGTTTTTGCTTGTAAGTCTTCGATTTTGTGTGACATCAAACATAAATCATCTGCGAAGTCCAGGTCTTCTAGGTTCTTCACGTCGGTCCAGGATATCCCTGCCTTTTCGTTTCCCACTGTCTGACGTATAATCCAGTCCAGTCCACCACAATTAGGAATATCATTGGTGATAATAAGCACCCTTGTCTGACTCCTGTGTTTACTCCAAACGCCTCGTTGAGCTTTCCGTTGTGGATCACTTGACATGTGCCGTTGTCGTACAGCTGTTGAATAAGGTTGATGAATATTTGAGGTACGCCGTAGTACTCGAGTAGTTTCCAAATTACTTCGCGGTCAACGCTGTCGAAGGCCTTCTCAAAGTCTATAAAGTTGAGGTAGAGGTTTGATTGCTATTCCATGCTTTGTTCGATGATGATGCGTAGAGTTGCAATTTGGTCAGAACATGATTCGCCTTTCCTGAATCCAGCTTGTTCTGGTCGGAGTTCTGTATCCAGTGCGTCCTTGATTCTCCAGGATGATGCGACTCAGGATTTTACTTGGCGTCGACAGGAGCATGATTCCTCGCCAGTTCTTGCAGAGTCCTAAGTCGCCCTTCTTTGGTAGTTTCACGAGGTAACCTTTCCTCCAGTCAGTAGGCACCTTTCCCTCTTTCCAGATCTTTTGCGATAGTGGAGCCAGCATTTCTGCTGTCGCCTCCGGGTCCGCTTTCAGTGTTTCTGGGGGTATTCCATCTGGTCCAGCTGCTTTCCCAGCTTTCAGAAGCTTGATTGCATTCATGACTTCAGTTTTCGTTGGAGGATTTGTGTCAACTTGCAGTTGTGTACGTGCTGTTGTTGGTATTACTGGACGGGTTGTTGGTGGTGGTCGGTTCAAGAGTCCTTTGAAGTGGTCCGCCCATTGTTTAATCTGTCTTTCTTCTTTGGTAATTGGGTTCCCTTGGCTGTCTTTTATAGGTTTCACTTGTGTTGATCTCTTCCCGGATAGAGACTTGGTTATCTGATATAGTGTCCTCAGGTCCCTTTTGCCTGCTGCCTTCTCGGCTTCAGTAGCCAGGTTGTCGTAGAATTGTGTTTTGTCCTTCCTGGCACTCTTCTTCACTTCTTTGTCCAGTGCTGTGTAAGTTGAGCTCAGCGTCTCCTTCTCTTCTCCATCTTTGCATTGAATCATTTTTTCTTTCACCATTCTCCTCTCCTCTATTAGCTTCCAAGTGTCCGTTGAGAGCCATTCCTTGTCTTGTCTCTTCTTTCTTCCTAAAACCGTTGAACACGTTTCGTTTAAAATTACCTTCAGAGAGTTTCAATGGTCTTCCACGGATGATTCCTCAGTGGTGCCACGTAGTGTTTCCTGCTTTGCTCTGACAGTTGCAGTGAAAATGTCCTGTGTGATTGTGTCCTTTAGTTTTTGAGTGTTGAACTTGCCTTGTGGCCTATCCCCAACTATCCTCGAGGCTTTCAGCTTCACCTTGAAAGTCCCTTGTACTAGATAGTGGTCTGAACCCACATCTGCTCCTCTCCTCAACCTTGTGTCCAGTAGTCTCCGTCTCCACTTCCTTGAGATTGAAATGAAGTCTATCTGGATTTTGGTGTGTCCATCTGATGAAATCCATGTCGCCTTGTGTATATCCCTGTGTTTGAACACACTGCCACCAATCACCAAATCATTGAAGGCGCAGAAGTCTGAGAAGAGTTCACCACTGTCGTTCATTTCACCGAGGGCCTCACGACCCATGGTGAGTTCTCTTCCTGTATTGTCTTCTCCCAGTTTCGCACTCATGTCACCCATCAGGATTTTGATATCGCTCTTTGGGACGTTGTCCATTACTGTTTGTAGTTGACTGTAGAAATCCTCCTTCTTCTCATGTTCTGAGGCGTTTGTAGGCGCGTAGCACTGAATGATTGTAACCTTTTTTCCTTTTGAGTTGAACCTGGCTGTCATTGTCCTGGAGGAGATTGGTTCCCACTGCACGAGAGCTTTAGCCGCTGTTGGTGACATCATGATGGCTACTCCCTCGGTGTGCTCGTGATTGTCCTCTGGGTGACCGGAGTAGATTATTGTCTTTCCAGTTGGTAGTTGGCACCTTCCGCATCCATTCCATCTGCTCTCGCAGATTCCCAATACTTCTATTTTATATCTCCTCATTTCTGCGGCTACCTGAGCAGCCTTTCCAGTTTCGTACATTGTACGAACATCCCACGTCCCCATCCTTATTTTTGCTTTCATCGAAAGAAGGCACATCGGCTGACTGGCTTCCCGAAGGCTTTCACCAGCCTGCGTCATTTCACTTCCTCGATTCCAGCGAAAAATAAGGTTATTGTTTGTATTTTTAGAATTTTGAATATATTTGTGCGTTGAAGTTTTAGTAGCAATTTGGTTAAGTTTTTGGGGTGGAGTTGCTAGCACCACGCCCCAACCCTCCCTCTTTATCCGGGCTTGGGACCGGCTAGAATACTAGTGACCTAGTAATCTAGGCGAGGTTCTCTAACTGATGTCATTTCGTTATCTAATGTATAATTCATGATATCTCAAAACATTTGTAAGTGATATAACTCATGTAATAACACCACCTTTATTATTTCTAATTCACACTAAAATATGAATGTCAGCCTATTTCATTTATATTTATCTTTGCACTACATTGGACTGCTGTGTTCGCCAATAAATTTCGGTATTTATTTAACTCTGCATTTCCAAAGACTGGTAGTTTTATAAATTATTTGCTGGTGTTTTTACTGCCTTTGTCCATCCAAATATCGTTTATCCGATACTGCCTCTTAATTTATATCTGTACGAATTCCATACTGTACTCGACGTGTAAGTGCCCTTGAATTGTAGTCTAGATAAAATTCGCATAATTCAACTTCCAGTTTATCATTCACACTATTTCAATAATCTTCATATCTTAAGCATTCCAACATTTTGTAGTGTATACTAATTTGAGGGTATATATATATATATATATATATATATATATATATATGTAGTCTGTCTAAGTACGTATCGATGACTAAGATCATGGATGCACTGATCTCTCTTATTCACACGCTTTAAGATATCTGCTATTATTCTTCAAATTAGAGCGGAAGTTGACTAAGGATAAACTCAGTTCACATTGCAAAATAATTTTTTAACATTTAGACATCGCAAAGTGCACTTTTGCGGCACTCATGCACTTACAGTCTGAGCTTATCTATTATTTAAATTGAAGATATGCTTTTGTTCATGAATAGTTCAAGCTTCTACCTATACTTAACCCTAACTAGTGGCCAAAATTTGTTCCCACCTTACTAATCCCCTTCTTGCTATACATAGTTAATTTTTTGTGTATTTACATAGCATTTAGAACCTAGAATTATCGTCTTTAGTTTAGACATTTATCATGTTTTATCTAGTGAAAGGACATTTTTAGCGTGGGAAACAAGTTAATTTCTCACAAAAAGTTTTAGCCGCTGTTTTTTAAATTTACCATAGGAAATGCTTTTCTTAAAGTCTAATACATGAATTTCACTGTTATTTACCTGTGATATGATTAATATTAGTTGCTTTCTGTACATCTTTATTTGACCTTATTTACTAACCAAAGCTTATAGCCGGTTGGATGGTGTTTTGGATTTGGAAATCATTAACCAGCAAGCTTTCAGCAAGGCAATAAGTCTACATGCACCACGTTTTTGCCGTTACCAAATTCGTTGCTCACCCCAACTAATGGAATTTCATTCAGATATAACAGTCCTGAAGCATGATGAATTCTTGAGGATAGTGTGTTCAGTTGCTGAAAATGTTGATTTGAGTGATGTGAAGTTTACTGTACACTCCAACTCAATAGGTAAGCATAACAAATACACATTTCGTTTATTTTGCTACAGTGTCCACTTCAGACAAATTTCTAAGCCATATTATCCTGGAAAGATTGAGAGATACATTCGATGGAATAATTCTCCTGGAACAGGCTGGATTCTGGAAACACTAAGCATAATCGAACACAACCTAAAATTATAGTCAACACTATACCTCAACTTCATCGATTTTTAGAAGGCTTTCGACAGCGTCTGTTGCAGAGTAATTTTACAAAGGCCTCAACACTATAGAAGGCAGCAGACACTTGTAAATCTCACTAAACTTTCATGTGATGACGCAACATGCCAAGTGAATCCATAACGGAAGGCTCACTGAAGCGTTTGAATTGAAGTCAGAATTGAGTCAAGACAGCCTAGAAACTGTCGCCAATGATCGTCATAAATTCGATAGGCTGTATCTTTCCACAGAAAGTCTGGATGGAGGCATGGATAAGTTGGATCAATAAAGGAACAACAAAAGCTGACAAGTTGGCAGGAGATGCAATAAAGATCAGGTTTCAGCTGGACATATAGAAGATGGAGGTGATGAGGATACTGAGCAACAGCAACAGTTACCATGAACGGGAGGAATCTAAACGAAATAATTTATTTCACTTACCTGGGAAGCATCGTTTCAACTACAAACTGTGCGGATAAGGATACCGAACTTAGTCGGGATCGGATAGCGAAAGTATGACCAACAAGCATTCATTATTATGGAATCAGGGTGGAGATCAACAGCACTCACTACAAAGAGCAGTATCCGAAATTTTAACAGTGATGTTGAGCTAGTGTTTCTCTATTCTTCAGAAAATAAAGTGGCACCAACCATAATGGACTAGTCGCTGACAGGATCTCAATGCGGTTAAAGAACGCTCGTTTGGTATCTTCCAGCCTCTTCTCTTTGAAAATGCGTGATACCCTTCTACATATTAAAAGACGTGTGCGTTGTGTAGCAAGTCACTTCATTGTACTTTATGGCTGTGAGGCATAGGCGTTGAAAGTGAAAGGTGCTCAGAAATTAGCAGTTACTGATCACTGGTGACTTTGTTCAGTCTCTCATGGTAAGTGTATCAGTATGATCGGTTATGATGAAGTTAGTCGTATGAAGAGTAATAGGTTGGGAAGGATTTACGTGTGGTGAAAAGAAATACAGCACAAAACCATAAATTCGCTGACCACATAGGATGAGGTTATAGGCTGTCTCACCGGTGTTTTCGACGTGCTATTAATCAATAACTATAGATTGTTGTTAGCGCGACTGATAATCATTCACAGAGGTACACATTTATGCTCTTCTTGTTACCATCCAGATTCTACATATCCTCACTATTCTTCACCAAATTAATATTTCTCTATCTCCCGTATATCTTCGTTCAATGTAGTTTCATTTCTTCTTCTTTCTCTATTTTAATATGGCGAATTGAACTGAAGCACTTTTATGCAAAATTAATGAGTCAGTTACAGCTTACCAACTCGAAAATGAAGAGATTCAGGCTTAACATTTTTATACCCTCTAAGTGCCAACAAAATGACAGAAATGTGTTTTATTTATGTTTCTTATCAGTATCCTGTGTGCATTTTAAAGCTGAAGGAATTTACGACTATCAGTAATGCTACAATACTTCATCAACTTCAATTTTATTATTTAAACTCAACTAATTGCTTAAGAACAACATTTATTGCAGTAAATAAATAAAACTAGTTGGACACAATTATATCCCAAATTTTGTTTCTTTTAAAAATAAACTATGAGATTCTGAATCAAAACAACTATTTGTGCATTTAAAGGAAATAAGGTTGTCAAATATTTCACTTTGAAGTTGGGACTAGTAACATTACGGTCAATCGGACGCCAAGCTAATATAGTATCTAAAATCCTAGGCTCAATAATATTGCGTAGACTAAGTGGTGCTCAGGAGGCACAAACACGAGAAAACGAGGCAGGTTTTAGGCCAGGAAGAGGGTATATTGATCATATCTTCACCCTTCGACAGATTCTAGAACATAGGCATTCCTACCGGCGTCCGACAATCACTATATTTCTTGACCTAAAGGCGGCATTCGATTCTGTCGACCGATAGGTTCTCTGGCGATGTTTGGCTGTAAAGGGAATGCGGAGAAAATACATTGCACTGATTAAGGCACTCTACTCGTTCTCATGCATCCGGGTGAGGGCTTACGGACGAGTTGTCATCTGAAGTGGTGACGACTAGTGGCGTCCGTCAAGGATGCCCATCATTCCCATTCTTATTCAACTTCATCATAGACGTACTAATGGACTTAACCCTAACACACTTCAGCGACTTAAGTATGGACTATCTACCAGGGAATAATCCCGTTGACTTAAATTATGCAGACGATATAGTCCTTCTAGGTGAGGACGCTAACAAAATGCAGAGTTTACTGAACACCTTGAGCAAAAGTCTTCGTATGTTTGGCATGCCATTCGCCCCTGTAAAATGTAAGATGATGCTGCAGGATTGGACTTCACCGACCCCCAGATTAGAAATAGGGAGTGAAGTGGTAGAGCACGTTGACCACTTCACTTACTTGGGAAGTACCATCAGCCCCAACGGGTTGATCTCCGACGAAATCTCAGCACGAATACAGAGGGCTAGGTTCGCATATGCCAGTTTACGCCGTCTCTGGCGTAGACGCGATATCCGACTATCGACCAAAGGGGGTGTGTACTGCTCAACAGTCCGCTCCGTCCTCCTTTATGGCTGTGAGACCTGGCCATTGAGAGCAGAAGACATGAAAAGATTATCTGTGTTCGATCATAGGTGTCTGCGTTCTATCTCCCGTGTGAAGTGGCATAATAAGGTGAGCAATATTGAGGTTAGGCGTCGAGTGCTAGGTAAGGAGGGGAAATCAGTCGACGAGACTGAGATGGTTAGGACATGTGTTAAGTATGCCTAGTCATCGCCTTCCTCGACGGGCAATGTTAGCTGATATATGGTCAGGCTGGAAAAAAGCTAGCGGCGGTCAAACGAAAACATGGCACCAGTCAATGAAATCCACAACAGTTAGTCTAAGCCACGTTCGAAGATGTAGACTTCCTGGTTGGGGTCCTCGGGACGGTAAAAACCAATGGTTGGAAACAATTGGTGACATGGCTCAAAATCGTTCTCAGTGGCACAGATGCATCCACTCCTTGTGACTTATGATTTCCGTTATTACTATTCCTTTTTCTCACACCTCTGTTTACTGACTATATTATGCATTTCTTCTACTTTCTTCTCTTGCTTTGTGTGCTACATGGAGCGTGGCGACTTGAACTGCTGCACATATGTACAAAGTTCTATGTCGAAAACCGACCGACGGTCAATCTGTCACACAATTTCTCCACTTCAAAGCGTAAAGTATATCTTATTTATTTTAAACTTTTGATACATTTAAAGATTATGTTCGGTAGGTATTAAAATTCTCTGACTACACTTCTCTTTTCAAAAAAAATTTCATATTTTTGGTTTTTGTATTTTCACTCACTGCGTAACCTAACAGTGTTATTGTATTCCTGTGTCTAAGATGTACGATTACTTAGTCACTTCAGTCAAGATAGTTAATAAATTGAATAGCTGACACAACTCAGTAGTATGAGTTTAAGCAATATAATCTCATACTGTAACAGCAGAAGGCAAGACACGGAAGCAAACTTATATTTTCAATTAATCAAATCGTATATATATAGTCTATAGTCTATATTCTTTAACCAATCACTGAGCGTGTGATTTTGGCTTACATTAAACGATATGAAATAGAATGTTCAAATACATATATATTATTCTGTTGCTAATACACTATTGAACTGTGGGAAAATGTGAGAATAATATTCCGTTGGAACACATTGTCTGTATCACATCACCACTTCCATCACACTACTTCACATACTGTTCCACAGTGTGAAGGTGGAGCTTTATATATCAGAAACTAATTTGCAGTTGTTTTTGTAGCCACTGTAGTTTCTTATTTGTGCGTGCATTTATTTCTTGTCTTAAAAATTATTTAGGTGAATATTCAGTGACTAGGTTGACTAGACGTCAAATTTCAGACCCTGGTTCATCAGAAATGCTGGTTAGAGGAATCTCTGAGGTAAGATTTACACATAATCTACATCATTATATTTTTGCACATACAATCTTATGCTTATACTTCTTTATTTAAGTTTTATCATACTTTCTATATCCTTCATCATCTATGAACTGTATGAAACTTTGATAAATGAATCAGCCTTCAATAGAAATTTTGGTTCGTGAACCATTCCAACTGTTTGGCGAATGGAATCAGTGTAAAAGTCCGCCAAAGTAATAGAAGTTTCTAGTAGTCCCTTTAGACTTTCTTTATTCTTTCTATATGGAATATGTTTTAAGAAAATATCAGAAGAATTCCAGATAATGTGGCGTTTTATCAGTTTTCTAAGGTCAGCTGTGTATGTGTCCTAAATTTTTAGACTTGCATGGCTTCAAAAGAATGCATACAACAGCATTGGAAATGGGCGTTTGTAGAATGCCTTCTCTGTGGTTTCTTTTTCAAATTTGTCGTTATATTACTTTTGGCTCTAATAAAGCCATTTGATACCCTGTAACGATGTGGGCATAATTAATGCAATGCCTATAAACTGTATTACTGATGCGACTACTACTACACTTGTTCTATTTGAGCATTTTATCATGTAAATTTCCTAGGTATGCAACTACATGTACGGATAAGATATGTACAACGACAACTGGAGAATAATTTGTTCTTTTTCATGAATATCGAAAGTTTTATGCTGTGCTCAAGATTTTTAGACTTCGTAGAACCAAGGCGCAACTGCTCTAAAAATATTCTTGAGCCTCCGTATAAAATATGGATTTTTTGTTTCTGTTAAATTAAACATTTTAGGAAGAAGTGACAAGAGTGTCAGATGTATCCGTTGGAAAGATTGTACCTTCACTTGGTGCTAAAGGCTTGCATAATATGCTAAGAAAATCATGTTCCCATCTACTTCCCAGATTTATTAATCACCGTTTCAGGTCACTTACATTCCCAGTTTTTCGCAAGTTCAAAAGTAAAACTGATAATATACCATCACACAATATGAGATGAAAACACTTTTATTTTTTTTTTTTGAATTTCTGTTTTACACTATAAATTTCACTTTGTGATTTATCATCAGTTTTTCTACTGCCATCAGATTAATATTTGGGATTTACTTATTCAAACAACCGATACTGTTCATATTCTATACAGTGGTTTGTGCTTAATTGTTAACTAACTGTTTGGCTGTCCACAAGTCACTCTGTGAAAAGCTTGTATAGACTGTCTTCATCTGAGGATTCCTTGTTATTGGAATCTAAATCATCAGTAGTAATTCCTTACAAAGAAGGGACCTCGGAAACCTTACGCAGAATTCTTAACAAGGCAGGAATAAAAGTGGCATTCAAACCCACAAACTCAATTAGAAACAAGCTTTGTTGGTTAAAGGATCCTGTAGAGCCTTTAAAACAAAACAATTTAGTTTATCTCATATCCTGCAATGGTTGTCAGGTCAAATACATAGGTCAAACTAGTAGAACAGGGGTAGTCAGACTAGCTGAACATAAAAACCTAGCAAAATCTAGATTGGTTGACCCTAATAAGATAAGAAATCTAGAGAATAGTTCAGCTATAGCACTACATGCAGTTACACACAACCATACAATAGGATGGCATAGGATGACAGTTTTAAAATCTAATGTCACAGGGTATAGGGAGAGATTGATAACAGAAGCTTTGTTTATCGAATCAACTGCAAACACGTGTAATAGGAATGATTCAACACCTGTTCCAGATATCTGGAAAATTCTAATACCCCTATAAAAAATAGGAGAAAACAAAGAAAACTATAAAACTCAAGTGTCAAAGTCGTGTGATCACAATTGATATGATTATGAACAATAAATTTTGTTCGAAACGTCATCCAGTAAATAATACTGTTTCACTGAGTGATATATCTAATAAACAAACTAATATGGAATTACTTACTACCACAGTGCCCAAGTTTTACACATATATTAAGTTGTTGTTTGAATTGACGACAGCCAGTGGTGTTCATAAAGGTTGCTCAGTGCCGAATTCTTAGTTAAATTCGTTGCAGAAACTCTTTTTTCTAATTTAGACTTCTCGTCAGTTGATCTGCTATGCCTGAGAGGTCTTGTTGACTTAGATCATAAGACAGTTCACTTACGAAGTCTCAACACGAATGTCTTATTTTAAAGCCATGAGACATAATAGTAAAAGATGGAAAAAGCTTACGCTTCTCTGACTGTCCATTTGCTCAGGTGAGATAGAACAGGACACGAAGCAATAACGAGATTTGCTGTAGAGTTTTAATTAAGTAGTTCAAGTGGTTCCCAGCCGTGCTTCAGTTTTCCACCCGTTGACCGATTGCAACTATCTTCGTAATCCCATAATGTTTTAGATTCTAGAATCTTTGTGATGAGTATTTATTCCTTATCACACCAACGAAATTTTATATCAACTTGAGGAACCTGAATCGCCCCTTCGTTGCTCTGTCGAATTAGATAATAACGGTCTTTATATGTGCGTATAAATTGCAGCTCAATGACTTTTGGGAATGAAACAGCTGAGAAGATACCCTTGCTGAACTTATTGATATCCCTTTAACGTCTTGATGGGTATTTTCCATAATTTGAGGTACTATTTTGCTTACGAAATCTGCTTTGAGTGTACTGGACAATTCATAGATTTGAAAGCGAAAATCAGACAAAGAAAGTCATAAGAATAAATATTTCTCCTTAAAAAGAACATATTGCATTATGTCATATGATTGCAACTGTTAGATTACTTTGAGAGCAACATGACAGCATTAAGCTGTATGGAGAAAATGAGGCGCCTCGGAGTACAAGAACTTTTCCGACTGTGTAAAAGATCCTTTGAAACAGTGAAATCATGGTTGGGACTTGTGGTACGCCATTTGTCCAGGATGACTAAAGTATAAGAAAGAGTGAAAGGTGACTTACCTCAACAGAGATCCCGAAAATATCAAAAGAAAGAACAGCCAGTATTTTTCTTTTGTCGAATACTAACAACTGGTAAGACAAGAATACGTGTAATGAGAAACCAATAAGCGTTTGTTCAACAAGGTGGATGAAGATCTTTTGTCGCCAACTCTTCCACAATTCATCAAAGAAGTGGGCAGTAGATCTCTTTCTAAAGTATGGGATTATGTGTCTGGTTTCCTACAAAATTGTGATGGTAAAATAAAACAAGGACATTGAAACAAATGACAGCCAGTGCGCTGAATTTTGTGCTACTACTTTTAGTGGAAAATTCTTGTTCCATACTTGGTTTAGAGTGCAGTGGACATTATAATGTTAAATACTTTGTTTTAATTTGTACTTATAGGGACTGGCTCCAATGCCATATTTCGCCTTTCAGTGGTGCTGTTTATACGCACTTTCCTTTAGTTTGCAATAAAGGCATATCTATTATATAAGTTCCAGACGTTTTTCGTGGATAATGTGTACCTTTTATTTTACTCGAATATATGACTCACCTGAGCACATTCTCCCTAATAACCAAGTCTTTAATTTGCGTTTTGTCGTCAGTACTTACAGGTTAGGTAGAGTACTGAACTATTTGGTGCATAGTTCAATTGCGTTCAGTGAGGACCAGTAAAGTCTAGCTAATCGGTAGCATTACCAGTGCTTTACAAGAGTAAAGCTCATGACTGATTGAGTCTACCTCTGTCATAATATTATGGCTGCAATCAATAAAGGAATAAGTAGACGTTTCATTCATATATTCTGATATTGTCCTTAACGATAATATTCCCAACTCTTAGGACTTTTGGCATAGCGTTGGCAAACAGCTGTAGCGGTAAATAATTCCCCAAAATTATTAACCACAGCAATCATCACTCAACATTGGATGCTGACCATCACTGTTTAAGTCGACTTGTTTAGCTGAAGGCTTCCGGTCAAGCATCCCCGCCATTTGGTGCTCCGTCGTGTCACGTGCGTGCACGATTACTAGCTAGCTAAGCATTCACCTCTACCCGCGATTTTGTCCCGAAATATACTACGTACTTTGGACGACAAAATCTGGTCTTTTGCTTTACCATATGGTACTCGAAGAACGAACACTATAGAAGTTGTTGGTATAAGATCTTGCGTTAGTATAATCCGTACAACTCGCGAACGTCGATACCTACAGCCCCCTAAACAGCTATATCGTATTATCATACCTTAGCTTTCTGTTTTCACCAAATATATCCATTTTGTGTCTGTGGATGTTTAGGTCATAAAAACTCGGTACTCGCTACCGATGACAGAAAAAGTGAGAAACTCTTTCTCAACTATATTGGATTTTTCTCATATGTGATTGGAATCTATCCTCTGATTAATATGTGTAGCTTTTGTGTTTTAAGTGGAACATTGGTATCAAGACAAGTGGTTCATCCCATATGAAGAAAAAATTTGGCCATACTATAGATAATGTAGAAGATACTGTGAGCATGATGAGCTAGTCTCGTTCGAATTTTCATGGATGTCTGGGTAGAGGTGGGATACACGTACATGTCGCAAGGAATTGATTGGCTACAACATTTCGATCACTTTCCCAGAATTCCCTGCTGCAATTTACAGCGTTATGTGGTCGATTCTCTAAAAAGATGAAGTCAAGTAAACTCTCCTCACTTGTATGGCTATTAACTATCTACGTCTATCCGTTAGTATGTAGTATTTGGAGGGGTATCTAGAAAGAAAATGATCCACTAAAGGCTTCCTGTGGAATGTCAAACAAACCGAAGCAATTTATTTGGTTACAACTTATTTCGCAGTGATGATCTTCTAAAGTAAGCCCACTACAGTTGAAAAGATTGATGGAAAAGAAATCTATTCATATGGTTACTTACTGGTTTGTGTCTATCAGATCCAACAAATTCGTTTCAATCAACTGAACATATTGGAAACATCATAACGTAATCCACTTACGACCTCGATGCAAAGATTATATTTGACATTTCGTTCTGCATATATGAAAATCTAATTTTATTAGGTTTTGCAAGTAGTGCTATTGCTTAGAAGATGAAAATTATTCTATGAAGGTCAAAAGCTGATGATCTAGGTTAAAATTGTTACTCATTCTTCTTACAGAATCCAACTGATAATAGTGCGTAGATACTTTGTCATCAATTCAATATGTATATGTTATAGATTAATATACGTTACCATAACATGGTGTAGTTGCTAGAAGAAATGGACGGCTTTCATATTCACTTTTTGAGCATTGAGATTTCAAGTCATTACAAGAAAAATAGTTTAAATTGTCAGTCTTTATTTATGACTTATGACCACGTACTTTGTAGACGTACGAACTAGCTTGTAGAATTGGTGAAATGTACATCCACCAATGAAGGATATGAGAGAAAACTCAATAATTGTTTAACTTTCGGTAGGACACTATTTTATTCCAGCGGCGGAGTCAGAGTATAGTATAAGTTTGTGCCATCCAGAACTATAAATGTATAACTTACGCCATCATTCCCAGCCCAAATCCCCAAAATCGATTCAACCTTGTATGTTCAGAATTTATAAAGTTTTGAAGTGCCACATCTTAGCACATCTTGATGACTTCAAAATATCTGAGTGTTACAACCGTATCCTACTTCAGCACTACTGCACCGCATGACCGCAACAGCTTCATAAAAACATGCCTTTAGATGGAAACTGAGTCATACGTGACTAACGTAGCAAAAAATAATTTTCAGAAATTCAGTATCTTTCGGACGTAAGGACCAGACGAAATTGTACTTGGCAGACTTCGCAGTAAGCTTCGACTAACTGAACAATGTTTCACTTCACCCAACTTTGCTTTAGTAATTTGAAAGTTTATCGGGGCGGCGGTCACATATAGGGTAGCTAAAGGTAAGACAGAACCAAAGGAAAATAAAGGAGTCATAATACCAGTATCAAACTTATTCAGTTTTCATTGATACTAGAACGGCAAATAATTCCCCAAAATTATTGACCACAGCACTCATCACTAAAAATTGGACGCCGACCCTCACTTCTGAAGTCAACTTGTTTAGCTGAAGGCTTCCG